AGTAATTACTATCTTCTAATTCTATTTAAGACTTTTAAAAAAAGAGAATAATTAAGTAATATAAAAATATCTTAATATAATTAATTTCTATTACTAATTAAAATATTAGGAATAATATTCTTTATTTAAGATGAACCTATTTGCAAATATTTAAGATTAAAAACTTTAAAAAATTCTTTAAAAATTAATTTTAAATCTCTTTCTATAGAAATTTAATTAATGATCTGAGAATATATATAGTTTATAATATAGATTATTAAAGCTATATATTAGAAGATATTTAATAAGAAAGAATTCTATAATTTTATAATATTTTATTTTATTAATTTTTTTGATATATTTTTATAAATAAATTTCATTTTAAGATCCTTAGAGATATTATCTCTATTAAAGAAATGTTTATTTCTAATTACTTTTTAGATATATTAAGAATTCTATATATATATACTTAATATATATATTTTAATCCAATATCTAGATTTACTAGAATGTATTTTCTATTTTAATTTTGATCAAAACCTTCTTTAATTAAGTTATAATATTATAAGTAATACTAAATCTTTTAAGAAGCTATAAGCTTCTTATTAGATTTTTATTGATTAATTTAAGATTCTTCTTATTAAAGATATAGAATAAAAAGAGTAAGATTTAAATTTATCTTTTACTTCAGCTCTATTAATCTTGTTTATTCTATAGACTATTATACTGATAAAAGATGATTATAATGATGATAATATACTAATTATATATCATTCTAAAGAATATTAGAAGCATATTATTAAATATTAATATAATTATAATATATTCTATAAATCTATAGAATTTAGTACATTATATTATCTTAAATATATAGATTAAGATAGAAATTCTTATTTTAATATATATATTCTTTATAGAATAATTAATATTTAGATATAAGCTAAATCTTAATATTTTATAAGTTATTCTAAATTTATTAACTACATTTTATTATCACTTATATTCTATATCTAGTGGTGTAATTAATATATAAATTAAAATAAATTATCTATACTATTAATTAGAGCAAAAATATAGCTATCTATCTTTAGATAATCATCTTATATCAAACTAGATAAATCAAATAAAAAATATTTAAATATAATAATATTTAATTTCAGAATCTAAATAAGCTTTTATTAACTAATTTTTAATATATAATAATATAATGATGATATTTATACTTGATAAAATAAAGATATTTTTCAGTTTAATATAATTATTAGACTTGATAATCAGTTTTTTAGTTCATTTATATAGTATATAATTCTATATTTAGTAATAGTTTAATTTAGCTTTAAAAACTTTTTAAAAGAAAAGTAGAAAATTTCCTCATTTTAGATTATTTATTATAAAGCTAATTCTTTTTTTTAATTATATTATCTTTTTCTTTTTCTTTTAAATACCTTAGAAAGAATAATTATTTAATTCTATTAATATAATTTATCTATAGTCACTATATAGCTAACAGATGAATTAATATAAATGATAAATAGATTAAATATTAAAGAATGATTTCTAAAGTGATATTAATAATATTATATCTTAATATTATTATTAATTATTAAATTAGAAGACTTTTTTAATCTATTTCTTTAATTTATCTTAATAGATATAATATTATAGTTAACTGATTTAATTAAAAAAGACTCTATTAAAAGTATAAAATTAAATAATAGATTATAAATCAAATACTATTATATATTATTTAAATAAAATAATCTTTTATAATATAGTAGCTATATTCTATCAATGAATCTTAGATAAGATAGTATAAAAAGAGATATAAAATATCACTCTTTTAATAGATAGAATAACTCTAATTTATTTAATAGATAAGTAGTTTAATAAAATCAAAAATCATTCTAAGATTTAGAAGCTATATAGAATCTATTAATAATTAATAGAGAAAATCTATTAATAAAGAATTATTATAAAGAAAGCTAAAGTTACTAGAATTAATCTCAGTTTATAAAAGAAGAAGATAGATATAGAGTTAAATTAAATTATTATTAATCTATAAAAGAAAGAGTTTAATAAGAATTAGATAAAATATTTTTAAAATATAAATATTAAAACTTTTAATTAATAGTATAAAATAGATTTAATTAATTAATAATTATAAAATTAATTTTAGAATTTTATCTAATATATTATCTTTAAATAAAAAGAAAATATTTATTTACTTTATTATTCTATATCTATATAGATAGAAGATAAGATTTATAGTTGTTAATTAAAGTTTATTTATCTTATAATCTATTAATAAAAGTATTAAAAAGTGTCTTGTTAAGAAAAGTAAATAATCATTATATCTCAGTCTTCTTTTTTTCTTTCTTTACTTTTAGTAATATAATCAGACAATATTCCATTGAAATTCTATTTATCATAATATCTATTTTATTTATTAAATCCTAATCTTTCTTCTAATAAGCAGATAAAGAAAAAATTAAAAATAAATAAATTTTAAAACTATATTAAGAACTGTTACTGTAAAGAATTTACAGCTTTTAAGTTTGATAATCGGGTTTATAGATTGTATTTTCTAGGTGAAGTTGTTTTCAAGCCTTCTAGTGTATCTGATTTCAAGCGTCATACAGGTGATACAGCTGTTTGCAAAAACGGTGCACGTTTTTTCTCTGTTCAATTGTTTACTGATCCATGTGGCTAAGAGACGCTAAACTATTTTTGTAATTATTCCGAAGCCCCTGTCTCACATACCTGTATCAGCTAGTACGAGATACGTGATGACTCATATCATTTGATTACGTGTATTGGTAATACCTACACCTAATATATATGCTGTGTCTCCTTGGAGCCTATATATGATCACTTTAATATGCCATCTCATCTATCAGTATCGTAGTTAGCGGATGCTCGTGGATTAGTAATTGTAATTTTGTTCGTAGCTAGCTTGAAACCACTTCTTTAAGTGTTCAACATCCTATCAAACGTATAGAGCAAGACATGTGTGGACAGAATTTTGTCAAACTTCAAGCCTTGAATGTGGTTATACAGTATAAGTTCTCATGATTTAGACACTGAATAATGAAGATTTAAGGAAATTTGTGGTGCAACTTGTAATTCCGAGATATCAGAATTTGCACAGCCTATAGTAGTTCGCAGGTTCAGCGTAACAACTCAAACTCTCTTCACTTTCTTCTGAAACAGGTCGCATCCTTTGTATACATTTAGCTAGATTTGGAATAACTCTGGCTCGTGTATTTTTCTCTGTAGGTATTATGCATTAACAAATTAGTATGTCAGTTAATTATATGTATCACTGTTTTGACTTAGCCGTTTCTATCGCGCTCAGCTGGGACTGCGACGAGACAGGTAACACACTAACCAGAGAGGACCTAACCAAATTAGAAAAGAAAGTTAGTGAATAACTAGTTATAGTGTACAGGGTTTATCAAATACTAGTAGGGGTTGATCTCTCCAGTTTATTTTTAACCACTCTATTAAATTTGATTAAAAGTTATTTTATCATTACTAAGATTAAAATAGCTAATCTTATTATATAGATGATAATTTCTAGCTTTATATATAAAAAGATTAAATAGATTGTGTAATACTATAGAGTGTAGATTATTCTCACTGGAATATAAGTCTGAAGTCAGTATAGAAATAAAAAAATATCTAAATAATAATAATAAATATTTAAAGCTATAAAAAATACTATTCTTAAGCTACTGAATAGAATTAAGTTAAAAGAAATTATTATTATATTAAATGTATTTAACTCCTTCTTAATCTTTAATATTAAATTTTAGATAGTAGCACTAGTTATCATTATATTAAATTTTTTAAAATTTAATAATATTATTTAAAAGATTAATTTAAGTATAAAGATGATTTAAAATGAGTTTATAATATTAAATATTGTAATAATATAAGACTAGTAGAATAATAGATTTAGTTTATATATATATTATTTTATATAAAATAAGATATTATAGATCTTAGATTATAAATAGAATAATAATAAAAAATAATACTATTATTTCTATATATAGTATTTAGATATAGACTGATATTCAATATTTAAAAAGAAGAATAAAGAGATGTTTTTTAGAATTACTTTTAGTAGTTACTATTAATATCTTAATATAATCTGTGTAAAAATAAGAACTAATAGAGAAACTCTTAACTAAAAAATCTTCTAGAGATTTATTATAAAATTCTATTTTTTTATCTTAATTTATAGTTTTATTATGATAGATACTTCTATTAGTTTTTATTATAATTTGCTTTTCTTTAGAATCACTAGATAAATATATTAATAGATTAATTTTATCTAACTTAATCTTATTTAGAAATCTTAAAAATTAAAACTTTAATATATAAATATCTTAAAAAATTCTAATCTAATAATTATATTTATTATCTTAATCTTTATTACATATTAAATTAGCTATCTTGTTTTAGATATTATAGGCATTATTTTCTCTCTATGTGTATTTACTGCAGCAATAGTACTCACATCATATTAGATAGGAGAGGTCATATCATAGACTACTCTCTTAGAAGGCTTTATATATGAGGCTATTACTAGCAGAGCATCTCGTCTTTTAAGAGATTCACTTTTCATTGCTAAGGAGACTTAGATGCTAGCTGGTGGACAAACTGCATTGGTAAATGGACATTTATGGAGACTTAGTGTTAATAAGCCTACGTAATCAAATATCGGATGTAAGTTAGCTAAGCCCCTAGTTAATTTCCGGGGGCCACATTGTTGCATAGGGCTGCAGCTGACAGGATTCCTACATAATCAGTGCTCCAGAACACTAGCATATGATAGATAGTATATCCTGTTTGAATGGTCAACGTTCCCATCTTGCGATGGTTGCAGAATACAAGATACTACCAACAATAGGTTGTCTGGTTTACCTGGTACTTTTTAGGCCATGTGTTCGGAGTCAATTATTCCATAAGTGTATTTTATCACCATACATGTATTGTAAATAAAAATCCGTATTGAGCAGTTTTATTTTCGGATAATGTTATTCCCACACTATTCTATATAATGGTTTCTTCTTGGCACGGTTTCAGAGAAATGAGAAGAGAGTTTCAGCTGTTACTCTGAACCTGCAAACGACTGTATTCTTCCTTTACACTTAAAGCGTTGAGTTTATCTGATAAATCACTGCTCTCTTGAGAACTTAATATCTTTTCAACCTGGACCTTCATGTTCTCAGGCCTAAGACCTTGATCCAGTGCCTTGCGTATATCTCTTCGCCATATTTCAGCATACGTATCTTTCCAGTCCTCAATGAAAGCTTCCGCCTGGGCTCGCGTTCTAAAAGCCTTATGACAAGATCCGGAAAACTCGTTCACTTTCGCTTCCGCACCAAATTCTCCGCTGGGATTTGTCAGTGAAATAGAGATACTCCGGAGAATGTGCACGAACTGGTAGTATTCGTAAATACCAGGAGTTTTACCATCGGCTACAGCATAGAATGCCTGGTTGCCTGGCAGTGGTGCAGTCTCACCCTCTCCCTCCTTGAAAATCTCCTTAGGCTCTATGACTCCACGTATATTCATGAAGTTTCGAGCTTCTTCAAGAGTTGGGAAAGCGCGATGATCTGCATCACATCCATTCACTCGTGGATGTGCGTCGCCCCTTACTATCACGTTAATATCGCAACTGTTTTAACAGTTAGGCAGACAATACCAAGATGAAAAGATGGTTGGTTCATCAACACGGCCTTTGTAAATGGCATAATATTCGCTCTTCGGCTTGTTTCTTTTCTTTTGGCCTTTAGATTTCATCCTCTAAAGCTGGCAAGATTAAAATAATCACAGCACAAGTACAGTATGACCCTTTAGATTGATTGGCAGTAATTTAGTGATACTCTCATAGGACACAAAGAAAAACGGAGTCGTGAGGAAGGTTGGTTGGGCCGCAAGAATATTACTCATCAAAGTAGTTAACCTACATTCACGTGACCTGCTGTCGTTCGTGACACCGCCCAGATTAATCGACAGAACACGTGCCTAATCTGAATATCGTCTACTCGTATTGACATTTCAAGTGACGTCATGTTATTTTATAGTAAATTACGGTACAGGTGAAGCTTCGGAATATCGTTACTCTGGGCCTTTTCCTTGATCAAGGTTAGGGTGAAACATCTCAAACAATTTGTTACGATCGGCATAAACAGGAATTTATGGTATCATTGAACGAGAATTCTAAGTATGAGGAAAGAATTATGTACAGCCGCGCGCGTTGCGGATAGATAACCGGTGTGGGGCACGTGCCACGTGGCACGTGTCCCACTAGCCCCAGCCCTAGCCGCCTTAACCGCCTGAGGCAAACAAGGTGCCAACCCGGCCGTTACACAATTGAACAGAGAGAAAACATGCACCGTTTTGCAAACAACTGTAAGCGACGATCAGCAGCTTATTGATAATTCGAATTTCACTGAAAGGAGTTCATGGAATACTACGAATTCATAGAGGGTACTGGTGTGTCTTGGCATTTCGAACTGGGCTGCGGGATGACGTAGGTAATGGAGAAACGGAGGGTTACTCTTTTTGTATTGTAACTGTGGGCCTTTCCAGAGGTGGTTTTCTGTAAAGTATTTTATTATTCCGCTTCGAAACATACTCGCAGGCAGTAGCTGCATATGGATTAGTCGTGTTTCATGTTAGGGTTTGAAAAGCAATCTATATGTAAACCTGGGAAGGAGATTTCTGGTGCGACTGTATCCTTCGAAAAGTGTTTGCAGAGAGTTTGGAAGTATCCACCGCACCACCGTCAAATGAAAGAGGCCAGAGCTCTAATCGCATAATCGAGTGTATGGTATATTGATGAGTATGAATGTAATGGGCGGGCAGGCTCATCACCGCTTGACAAAGCCTTCTTAGAGTGTCCGTTCTATCACATCCAAATGATACCAGATAGAGCCTGCGTTTGCCGATGATGGTTGTCTTTCGCAGCCCAGCTGATGCCAACTCTCTCCGACAACTGTATCACTTTCCGAGGAAGTCATTCAAATCAGGTGACAGAGTGTAATAGATTATTCAGCGATGCCATGAGTTTTCAAAAAGTCCATGGCACTTTGATGAGCGAGGTGTATTCGCAGTCCGGGTGTGCCGAGGTCACTAGCAGAGACGAAGCCTTTGCAACTTGAACAAATGACCTTAGCTATCTCTTCATCTGTGAGGTCCATGCCAAGACCCTGTGCTGATGCGACGTCCTTTAATTCAGGGGTTAAAGTGGTCTTCAATTGGCTAACGCGCACAGGACCTGCTAGCATCATCCTAAGAACTTTATTGGCCAAGGCTGCGAGTTCCGCTGGTTGGTGCATGACATCGTCAAGCTTCAATTCGTAAACTTCCATGAGGCTTGGATATGTATTGCTGAGCAGACGTTCAAACGTGGCTCTAGTCTCTGATTGAGCCAGAGATTTTACCATGGAAGTCATGATTATGAACCTACGAAGAGTTAGTTATTGGGGCATTTGGTGGGTGCACATCATAGAAAAGAGAGGATGCCACGTAAAGCCACTTGAGGGTGCTTGGAAGGTACATACGATCCATTACTCTGTTCAACTATGAGTTTGGCTGCCTTGGCGATGTTCTCGGGACTGTAATCAAGATATGCTGCTATGCGGGGATTTTCCTCCAGCATCTTGTTTATACAATCAAGGCGGTCAGATAAAGTAATACAGTCGTCGACATTGACTGTAACACTATTTCGGAGAGACCATGAGGATACGTCTATTCCTCGACCTGCAACTACAATTCTTAGGGGCAGGTCAATTTGAAGAAGAGCCTCAACAACATTTCGACTCGTTCTTTCACATTCGTCCAACCCATCAAGTATAAGATAGAGCTGTTTGAGGTCACGCCGAATCTGACTGATCAGGCCTACACTCTCAACTAAAGACAGCGCGCCACCTGTGACTCTCATATTGACAATGTGCTCCACGAGGTAAGGACGTTGCAACACTATCTGCTGTATGATGTTAGATAACACCAGAGACTCGCTGAGCGTCTCTCGCTGTCGATATTCAAAGGCGAAGTATGCGACGCAGACATCAATTTCTGACTGATGCCAGGCTTTGAGAAAGAAATGAGTCGCCTGGCAGGTCGATGATTTGCCTGACCCCGGAGAGCCTGTAAGCACTAGGGTGCTTGGTCCAGATATCGCATCATGCCATTGTTTAAAGGTACTGTGCCGTAGAAACCATTCAGTGCTGGCCCTCTTCTCCATGATTTTGTCTCTGTCCAACTCGCGGTACAGGTTTCCTAAAGATAAAGAATTCACAATGAGCTCTTGCTCCCTAGAAAGCGACAATATAGTTTGCCTTTGAATACGCATCGTAGCTTCAGTCATATGTCTTTCAACTTTGTGCAGCTCATCTCGAATTGTCTTGGAAAGCCGAATGTGGTCATTCGTCATAGCTAGGAGGAAATGTGACTTGAGCTTTTCTAGTGAAGTAATCATATTTTCAAGACTGGTTTGATCAAGCGGCCACCGGAGTCGATTAAAGGCAGTTATGATTTTGCCACCAGGTGTTATACCTAACTTTTTAGTCATATTCTCCAGAAGCTCCTGGAACGTAGATAATGGCCCATAGGGTGCAGATAAGCTCTGAATAGAATATGACCAATCTTCATCTCCAACTTCGTTCGTAAGTTCGACTAGGGTGGACAGTAGCCCTCGTGCTTGAATAAGCGCAGCAAGTAGTCTTTTTCTTTGAATTGGCGCGTCGACGACTTTCCTCACATAGTCAATAATAGTAGCCGCTAACTCGACAAGGGCGGCAAGAGAGGCAGTATCACTGATGCCGTCCATGCTTGTTCCAAGGCTTCTTTGCTATTTAACGAAGACAGTATGAGCCTGGCCTAGATGACCAATATACTCATGTGCTGAGAACGTATCGAAATGGTGGGTTTAATTCAGCCAAAATAAATAGTCAAGTGTCTGGGATAAGCAGTTCGTACTCTAGTTTAGGAGGACGGTAAAGAATTGAGTAACGAAATTGCATGTAATTTTCGTCTCTCATGAGGTTTTTAAAAAAGGTCATATGGACATTCTGGCGACCTCATTTGAGCTATGAAGCGGGGTAACTTAAGAGTTAACTAACGTAATCCACACCCGAGTTGGTCACCCAACCGAGTTGGTCACTTCTGCCCGAAAATGCACTCTATATTGATTTTAAATCTTAATTTCTAACCCAATATAATAATTATATACAAAAAATTAATTATTAATATGATTAAAACATTGAGATCTTCTATATTTGAGAATATTATACTCATTACATCGAAATTAGTAGTATATAAATGCTTATAAGTTTAATAGCTTAGATTTAGCTAGAGTAATAATATTAATTTGAGATGTCTCAATCTAGTTTTATATAAGTGTCTAAGTTTTCTCTTTAGTAATTCCTTACTTATAAGATATTTGAGTCTTAAATCTATAGTGTTTTTGCTTTTCTTTTTTATATATAGCTTAAAAATTATAAACTTCTTTTTATATAATTAAAAACTTATTAATGTTTATCTTATAAACTTTTGATATTTAATTAATTATTTTATTAATAATTTTAAATGGATTCTCTGTATACTAGTTTATTTGCTTTTTAATTGTAGTTAATTGATGCTTAAATTAATATAGATTTTAAGATATTTATAAATAAGATGATTAAGTATTATTTGATTAACTTAGAGAAGATATTAGAGTTTTTAATTAGATAATAAGTTATTAATAAATTTAATCTAGATTAAATAATATTAATTCAGTTATTATAAAGCTATTCTAAATAATATTAGCTTTATATACTATTATATAGGTCTTTAGAAATATAATAAAAAAATTAATTTTGTTAATATAATTAAATTTAAATTTTATCTACTATTTAATAAGCTATCTATATTATTGTTTTAAAATAGTAAAATAGCTGATATTAAAAGATTATAAAAGATAAAAGAAATATGAAGATATATAGATCAAAATAATATTATTCTTAGTATATATATAGTTAAATTTAATAATTAAATAACTTCTATAGCTATTAAAAATAAGCATTTAATATTCTTCTATTTTTCAGTCAATAATATAAGGAATAAAGTGATATTTAAGCTAATATATTCTAATCTTATTTATTATCTATTTATTATCATTAATAATGATTATTTAATCAGTTAAAAGAATCTTAAATCAGTTATACTATATATATTTTATAGCTTTAAAAATTATATATAAAAGTAGAGTCTATTTAGAAGAATTAACTACTTTAATTATAGTTATTTATTTTTGATTCTTAGATTATAATAGATATAGTCTATTATATTGATTATTTCTAGTAATAATTTTTGTAGTTATATAGAGCCCTATAATTGTCACAAGAATCGATAAGTCACAGCCAATGAATGTTATAGCGGACACTATTACATAAGCACCCAATAAGACTATATATATGCGCCATATATATATAAAATAAGTACAGAAGATAGACACTAAGTGGGGTCTGCTTTAAGAGCAGCAATGATCATAATTATTATATAATACAAATAGATATTATATATTAAGACCTTATTTTAGCATATACTAAGCATATAATCCAATAAAGCAGAGCTTCAATATATAGAAATATAACTTCTATATAGTGAAGTAATAATTTTAGATATTAAGATATAACTTTAATACCCTTTAATATATATAGATACTTATTTATTATTATATATTTAGATTGATTATCTTTTATCTTTATCTTAAATAGTATATTACTATTTAATATTTAATAATCTTTTTATTATTACTATTATTCTTAATAGATAGCTCTCTAATATTGATCTTATATTACTCTTTTATCTTGTGTTAGCAGAATATCCTCTAAGATCTCCAATCTTGAGACGAGTTGTTGACAACTTTTGACAATAATAAAGCTAATTTTATTAAAATTATAGATATCTTCTAATAAAATATTATATTTTAATATAGTCTCTTATATATAATTAAAATACTCTTAAATTATCTTTAAATCTTTATATTTAGTATAATTATAATTATATCTTTATAAAAATCTTAATTTAATCTCTAAATAATATTAAACTAGATTATATATCTAGTTCTCTTTAATCTGTTAATCTCTATATTATATAAGAAGATTATTAGTTATCTTTTGTATTAAGGATAATCAAGAAGGTAATTCTCATTTATCTAAATTTAATATCTATTTGACAAACAATTCCTCTTTAAATTCTAATAATTTATGTCTATTAGTCTATATTTTTACTCAATATTATATATCTTTTAGTCTGTTTTGAAGAGTTAAAAGTAAGACATTATAAATCTTTATCGCTTATTGTACAGAGCGAAATTTCTGATTTTTTAAATTAGAAATAGCTAATAAGATTCGTCCCTTTTACTCAGCTAAATTATTTGAATTTTTATTACGAATTGGTGGCATAGTAACGCGTTGAATTATATAAAATCAATATAGAGCGCGTTTTCGGGCGGAAGTGACCAACTCGGGTGTGGATTACGTTACATCCCCTTGGGTGACTAATCAATTTTTCGGATTGACTTTAGTTACATCTCGATCATACACATCGTATTGGGATTTCAGGTGACATCATGGTATCTTACAGTAAATTACGGTTAAGTGAAGCTTCCGGAACATTATTAATCCGGCACTTTGCCCGGTCAAGGTTAGGGTGAAACGTCTTAAACAAATGAACAGAGAGAAAAGCGTGCACCGTTTTTGCAAACAACTGTATCCATTCAATCCCGCTTTGGCCACTCTGCTTGCCCTTACAAAGACTGTGAATGACAGAATTGAAACTTTTCTTACTATATCTTTTCCTACTTTCTTATTAACCCTATATGATATCAAAATACTCCTATATTACTTTATTCTATATCTTGATTAATTCAATTACTACAATCAAGTATCTAAATTCTTCTAATTATATATATATCTATAAGTATTTAATAAAGTATATTAATTACATTATAATAATATTATATCTATTAGAAATTATAAAATATAAAAGCTACTATTTCTTAAATTCTATAAGATCTTCTAATACATACCACAAATATAAGATTTATTATTTAAAAAGAAGCACCTCTTATCCTTATAAACTTTCTTAATAAAATCATTATAATAATTAATAAAAAAATACTTAATTAATCATCTATTTTTAATCTCTATGTAATCTTTTATAATATATAAAATACGACTAAATTAGCTTATAAAGACTAAGATAAAGCTAATAATAAATATTTTAAATATTGTAGAGGCTATATAGAGATTAATATAAGCTAATAATAAATATTTCAAATACTATAGAGCCTGTATAGGATTAAAATAAGCTAGTAATGAATATTTTAAACACTATGGAGACCATATAAGGATTAGAATAAGCTAATAATGAATATTTTAAATATTATAGAGACTATATAGAGACTAAGATAAAGTTAATAATAAATATTTTTAAATTAATATTATATAGTAGAAACTCTATCAAAAATCATTTAATATTATATTATAAGTTAATAATGATTTTAAATATTATAAAGATTTTATTTAAATTATAATCTTATAGTGAAGAATAGTAAATCTTTAATTTTACATTATATATATTAAGATTACTAAATAATATCTAGTAAATTAATAGATCAATATGATCGAAACTTTTCTATAAAATAAAGATTATTAAAGCTTAAAATTTAGATTTATTAATAGATCTTTTTTAATAACTTAATTAATTTTTAATTTTTAGTTATTAATTTTTAAAAGAATATTAAATATATAAGATTAATTATACTAAAATAGTTTATATAATAAAAGTAGAATATTTTTTTAGATTTTAATCTATATTATTATAATCTAAAAAATATTAAATTAATTAGAAAAGCATTTTATTATTTATTTTATTTAATTTTATATTGTATTAGTTTAATCTATTTTTTCTTTAATCTATTGATTTATTAATTATATTTTATAATAATCTTTTTCTATATTTTTATTTAAGATTTGTAAAGAGAGATAAGAAAATATTTTTATAGTATATATTTAAAAGATGTTAAAATTCAGTAATAATGGCTACTGTAAGGTATTAATAAGAGTTATACCTAATAGATTAATATATAAACAGAAAAAAATATTAATTTTATTTTTAATATATATTTTAATAGCAGCTTTTATTCTTAATATCATAATATGATTAAGATATATAATGAAATTATAAAAAATCTTCTAAAGCTATCTTTTTAAATATTATTTAAAAAGACTTTTTTATTCTTTTGTAGTCATTATATAGATAGAATTTAGTCTAAATGATTAAATCTAATAGTTTCTTTATTAATATTTTTTAAGAAGTTCAATTATGTTGATAAATTAACACTATTGTTGAGCAATTTAGAAGGACTGGAATATAGATTCTAGTAAAATAGCTGGTCAATTATAGATTAGAATAAGATTAGTGAAGAGACTAAATTTGATAATATTTAATTAGATATAGAGCTAGAACTGATCTAGATTATTTATAGCTCTAACCTTATAGATATAAATATGGATGTAGACTTCCAACCAAATAGAATATAAAATCCTAGATAAGTCACATGCTATTATCTACAGATTTATACAATATTGTTAAAAATAGATCCATTGTATCTACACAACTGTCTATAAGGCAAATGTATGGTTATGGACAACTATAAATACAATTGATATATCTATATTAATAATACTATTAAAAAGCACTTCTCTTCTAAATTCTAAATATATTTTTTATTTTTTAATTAACCTATTTATTATTAAGATATTTAATAATTAATTTATCTATCTTATACTGATATAATTCTAAAAAGAAAATAATATTAAATAGATACTAATTATATCTAAATTTTTATTATATAAATTAACTATATTTAGATTTCTATTTTATACCCTTTATCTCATTAATATTAATTCTAATTAATATAAAAATTAATATATCTAATTATAATAATTTCTAGATTTAGCTATTCAAAATTCAGAAAGATATATAAGATATTAAATAAAAATTAAATAATATTCTTATCTTATAATTAAAAAATAATAAAAATTATAACTTTATAAATCCTATAAACCCTCAAATATATAATAATTTAATCAGTTCTAACCTAATCAGCTAATCAGCTCAATTAATAATTAAATATTATCAATAATATATATAATATATATTATATCTATACTGTATACTACACACATAATATATATAATATATATATTATACACTCTTATTAAATCTATTTATCATAAATATTCTTTATAAAACTTATTTTTTATAAATCATTCTTAAAGCTTATAAATCTATATAATTCTAAATTAATCTATTATAATCTTATAAACTTATTTTATAAAAATATTTATAAAACTTATCTTTAATAATCTAATATTTAATATACTTATAAATCTCTATATTTTAAATCTATTCTTTTAAATCTTATAAATCTATTAAATTAAAATTATTTATAAAATAGCTAAGTAATATTAAAAATTTAGTTTTAATTCTTAATTTAATTAATATTTTTTTTTTCTAAATATTAAGTTCGCAAGTTTAATCATAAAATAAAGATAAAAAAAAAAGATTTATAAAATATTTAGAATTAATATATTATCTTTATTCTATATCTATATAGTGATCATTAAATTATAAAAAAATATTAATCTTATTATAATTATTTTATAAAGTTATATACTCAACTTTTATCAACTAAATTATTATCTTTGTATTAGAATATCAAAAAGAATTAAAAAATATAAAAGAGAATTTTTTATATTAAAATCTTATTTATAAAGATTTTATTGATTAATTTATAAGAATAATTTAGAAAGCTCAATAATTCATAAAAGTACTATTTAAAATAGATAGATTTATAAAAGAACTTTTTAGAATAAAATGATTTATAAGAGCATTATCTAAATTAAATAGATTTATAAAAGTTTTTTTTTTATTTATATAGAATGCTAACTAAAATGTAAAGCTTTTAACTTAGTAAGTAAAGATGCTATTGTAGTTATAATTGTATATTATAATGATAGAGAAGTGCTACTCACAAATGATGCTGCTATTGATTTTCAGTTAGTAAAGATTCTAATATATTAGCTCAATATTGGTGTTAGAGGTGACAGCTTAAAGAGCTAGAATATTTCTAATAAGAAATTAAAATCTTCTTTAAACGCCCTCTCTCTGAATATGGATTTGAGTGTGAATAGGAAAACTGGTCTTATATTATAGGATTAAGGTGATAATCAAGATAGTCTACATTTATGTGAGGGTAATTATTTAATTAATAAATTAAGATCTATTTAGTCTCAAGACTGGTCTACATCAATATTTAGTAAATGAAATGGAATCTGTTTCTATAAAATCTGTTTAGTTGCTGTAGTTATATCTATGATACAGCTTTATAAGCCATACAAACACCTTTCTCATTTGTGTACTGAGACGCAGCTAAATCAAACAGATCCATTCAATGAAAATAATAAGTTCAATAACTTAAATAATGATAATAAAGATAATAATAATAATTACATTGATCAAACATAACATATAGAAAACCAGAGCCATTCTGCTAAATAACTGAAGTATCAATCTATCATCAATAACAATCCAATAAAACTAAAAGCAGTTAGAAATTTAAAGCTTAAAAATTTATCATTTTTAAACTTAAAAACAGTTCAATAAGGTGTTCTGATCTATGAGTTTTTTTTATTACAGATTATATACTGCTTCTTATAGGTAGAAGATAGAGGGTGCTTAAATAATCATCCACCTAATGAGGGTAACACTCTTTATAAAAAATATAGTTAATATGAAATAAATAGTATATAAAGATGGGGCTTTAATATTTTTTAAAAGATGCTGAAGATGATATCATTGAAAAAATAGATAATAGTTAATAGAATAGTTACTTAAATAGTTGAAAGTTAGGTCTTGAGGGAAAACGTAG